TGCCTGTGCAGCGGCAAGAGACCATTATCCTTCAAACCGAATTCTGTTATAAAGGATCGTAAAATATGCCTAAATCGGATATCAAGCAAATGCCTGAAATTGAATATTAACGAGTCAGCTCGAAGATGTAAGATGCCTTATTAGATCTTGGTCAAGTTTTCATAACGTCTGTTCCGCATGGCGTTAAAAACAATATAGTGATCATGCCTAAGAGAAAGTGAGGGCTAAACACTGCATTACAATCCACTCTCCTATGTATCCAAGTGTAGTTACATCCAGCGGAATTCCAAATGCAGAAGAGCTCGTGGATATGATGGCCAAGAAGTTGTGGCCTTCCCTTTGGTCGCAGTCTCTTTTCGCTTTATAGTGTTAGTTCGACCCTGTCGAATGTGCCTAGTCTCGTCTTCTGAGATATTGTTCGCATGGTAAATTTATAAACCAGTTTGATAGAAAAATTAAATTCACAATGGAAGTAGAGGAGGATAAGCAACTACCCTCCCTGGATGTTAAAGTCATGCTCTCCAACGGGACACTCATGAGAAGCAATCCTAAATTTCCAGTCTCATCACAACTATAGACTGAAGATGGGAATTTTATCTTCAGAAGTAAACTCAGCCAAAAATTGCGACCGTTGCTAAGACAATGGAATATTGAGGAGATAACAAAGGAAAAGACAACACTATTCAATAGGCTGCCGGCGCAACATGAAAAGGGTGAGAAACTGGATTGCTAGGAAGTTTATAGCAGCAAATGCGTCAACTGTGAGCAGAAGTATATTCGTCAAACAGGAATAAAAGGGAATATACGAATTAGGAAACACCAAAGACTCTAAAGACACAGGGATAATTATCGGAAATAGAGGAACACGAAATCAAAAGAAAGGCTGGCTGCATACGGTGCAAATATAAAATGAAACATATGAGAAGCCATCGATATCCTGACTGGAAGAAATCTAATGAACATGAGCCTTGAAGAAGGCAGGATTAGTGAAACCTTTACAT